CCTAATAAATTTACTAAAAAAGAGTTTTTGGACTCTAATACCAAGAATGATGTGCATGATCTTGACATCTTCGGAAAAAAAAAAAAAAAAACTGCAAATGTAACTATACAACTAGAGGATTAACGATTCTGGCTACGGAAGTAGTTTTTTTTTTTTTTTTTTAACATAACTACTGCAAGCTAGGATCTTCAATCATGCATGCAGCCTAGGCGGGGTATGGTATGTATTGTTTTCTTAAATAAATGTTATAGTTGACGTTTGTCTTGCCAGAGATGATAGAGCCAAGTGTACGTACGTCGTCCGGGCACAACCTTTGACTTGTTATTGGTGGCCGGAGGCTGGAGGTCACATTAATCAGTTGACTATTGTTTAATATAATGCAATTAGGTTATGTCGTCGTCATTTCATGCAATCATGCAATTTTTTTTTTCTTTATGTCGCAGCAGCATGCTTTTGTATTATATTCAGATCAGATCAGATGATTAAATCCTTATTATTATCACATAGTATATAGCCTCCTTTTATTTTCATTATTAGTTTCCTTATGAAACTGCACGTACGTGTAATTTCGTACGTGCTCCAAGTCTCCAACTGACTAATATAATAACTTGTATTATGACAAGTTATAACAAAAAAAATACGGAATATTATTGAGACGAGTTCATGGGATCCCGTTGGTTATAAAAGAAAATATAATATATTCTTTTATATATGTAAAATGAAATATTATGTAAAGAAAATTTAGCAGCATACTTAATTTATTTATATATAATTAATGTAGTCATATTTCAAAAAATAATAATAATAATACTAATTCGGCCAAAAAGAAAATCTAATTTGATTTTTAAAATTAATCTTTTTTTTTCTTTAAAAAAAAAAAAAAACCATTTCACCACCTATATAAAAAAGTTAAAACCTTTCTAAAAATCTAATTATCAAACACCACGACCTATATCAACAAATAATGATGATGATGATGGAGTGGACGAGTATGTGAAACATGATTCTCGTATCTGAAATTCATGAGTTTGATTATTGTCAGCATTATTTTAGTCAAGCTTGTCGTACATAGTGGTTGAGTGAGTACAGTAGAAACACACACCGATAATAATCTTATTCATGCTGGACTGTATTGCTGGGTAGTTCCTCAAGCTATTAGAAAACTAATTTGTCATCCACGTATTTTTTTGTGGCTCATTTGGGAGAGTCATAGTTATGACGCTTGACCACAAGGTCAAGCAACGTATTTCTTTGTTCATTTTTACAATACATTGACACTATTATAATATTCTTTTCCTAAATAAGAACCTAGCTAACAAATGTAAATTTTCTTAATTTTTTCTGCTAATTTAGCATCACAATTAATTCTGCCACTAATTAAGCAAATAGTAATTTCTATAATTAATATACCACAAAAAGACTTATCAGGAAGTAATGCTATTCATATCACAACTTTTTTACAATAATAATAATAATAATAATAATAATAATAATAATAATAATAATAATAATAATAATAATAATAATTTTACTAAGCTATATGCATGCATGACTTTTTTCTTACAATGCAATGTGAATAAACCAAAACGTTTGTCCACTTTGATTTATTTTCTCCTCAAATATCAAAATCGTGAGGTCACAAATTGGAACCCCAATTTTGACTGAGTGCCACAGTACACCAAACACGAATGAATATCACCAAAATTGAATGGATTGGTCAAAATATATAATTATGATAACTCGTAAATGATTCGCCTTATTTTCCTTGAAAGTATTATTATTGGATTATTATATACATATATATTTGCATTTACAAAATTGATAAGGGTTCACTATACGCATTGTGGATCTTGATTCAAATTATGTATCTACATTTAACATACTGTATGTGTACCTTTATGTTAAATGCAGGTGGTACATAATACTTTAATTGCAACATGTACATAATTTGTTAATTGAATATAATGTATTCCGTATATAATATTTTCATTGCAGATATATAGTTTGGATATACTTCACAATGTGTATAGTGAACCTTGGTCCATGATAAACTCAGGTGAAAAAGAAGACAGAAAATATGCAAGAAAGGACATCAGTGATAAGTCCAAATTAAAGGTGAGCAATGACAAAGAAAAGCAATATAAAGATGCCAATTCAAGGCACAAGTGCAGTGAACAAGTTGCCATTGAATCCTTTGTTTGAGAAAAATAATCTTATATTTATGAATATAAACTTTGAAGAGAATTGCATTTTTTGTCTCTGATTGTGGATGACTATTTATTTTTATCCATAGCTGTTTAATAATTTTTGTAATATAATATATTTTATTTTGTCACAATGTTGTGCACTTTTATTCTTTTGCCTCCATCAACTATATATTTCCTAGTGTCTTTCATTTATCTGCCCCAGAGTTGGTATATATTTGTAAATTTGTATTTAAATTAGGCTAATATATAACGAATGGTAAATAGAAGCAAATAGAAGATGTTGGGACAAAAAAAAATTGCAAACCTTATAAGTTATATTATAATACAACTTAGAACTATATTATATATATTATTTACAAGTGTGAAAAACTAGGGACCAAAACAACTAATGATACACAATTATTAAGATAGGGGCCAAAAGCACAATGTGCATTTACTAACTAAAACAATTATCCATTTTTTTTTTTAGGAGAAATGAGTAATTTGAGAAAGGAAAACATATAAATATGTTTACTTGTACATTTTTTTATTTTAAAAAATAAAGAATAGAGAGAATGAAAAGCTTGAAAATTAAAATAAACTCATTCACAAATTTTCTATATTAATTTTTTTGTCAAATCACAAGTTTTCTCAACCAGTCAATTAGAACCACATATCAAGACGAATCCTGTTAGTGTAGATAAGATCTCATGTGACAAAGCACTCCCTCTTGGTCACTACTCTGACCTTGTTACAATATAGTATCTGTTTATACATACTTTCTAATTTGGTGACTCCCATTTGGGAGAGTCACAGTTATGCCGCTCGACCACAAAGTCTTTCGCCCCTTTATTAATTTATATAATTGTATTACTTGTAAAGTTTGAATTGTATATCTCTATAGACAAAACTAGTAAACAAGTTGGTGTAAATTAGTAGGGCAGTCTGCCCAATTAGAGGCTAAGATGAGTCATCATCGTAAACAAGTTGGTGTAAATTAGTAGGGCAGTCTGCCCAATTAGAGGCTAAGATGAGTCATCATCTAAAGGGTCACAATATGTAATTTATGAATGCAATAGTTTCTCTGTCAAAGGGTAGGCAGATAAGAAGTGATTGGGTCTTGCAAAGTGATGATATGAGCCTCAAAGGGCCCCCCCAACAACCTTTGTTTGATGGCCTAACTTGACCATTCATACAACACAGTTTTAATCTATTAAGCTACTGAACAAATTTTCTACAAGTGTTTTGTGAACATAATCTCAAAGTGGACATAAAAAATTCTAAAAGCAGCAGTCAAAAAAGTGGAAATTTGCAAAAAGAACAAACCACATTAGTTGTTGGTTTGGAGAAATCTTGTTCAAATATTTTTCTTATTTAATAGGTTATAGCAATCACATGCTTTTTTCTAGATGGTGTTAAATATATTTTGCACTTTTTTTTTAAAGAAAATTGAATTTCATAAAGTGAAAGAAATTAGAAGAGTATAGGTAAAAAAAGAGAGTAGATTATATATATAGTTACAAATTAAAATAATATTTTATCAGATCAAGTATTTATTACTACACCAAAAGTTATACCCCTTTCAAAATGTAAGAGAAAGTCCTCAGTTGCTACCTGAATGTGCGGTTTAGGTGAAGCTCGCCTCTAAGAAGATCAATAGACAACTCCCTTAAGGAATCGAACATGGAACCTTATAGTTACTAAGTCAACTCGGTTGGATTTGCCAAAACAAATCTGTAACTTTATTTCTTTAGATTTGTGCAGTGATCACTGCCATGTTTTAAATTCACTAAATTTGGCTCTCTAAGCCTCTACCCAACAAATCCATACTATATTTAAAAAAATAAATAAAAAATAAATACATAATATACACCATTTGACATATATATCACTATTGTATTAGATATTTTTTGAATTTAATTATTGTCTAAATTCTTTATTTACTCATGACAAACAACAAATTCATGGGTAACCAATAAAAATAAAGAAATTTTCTTTTTAAATTAATGTCACGTAAATTGTGAATATTATGTAGTGATTTTAGTAAGAGGAAATTTAATTTAGGTGAGCTTTAAATTAAAATTAATGCAAAAAGGATATTGAATTGGATGATGGATATAAGATTCCATCTTTAATTTCCCCTTAATTATACCCAAAAAAAAAAACATCATGAGTAATGTCAAGACTTTGTTAGTTAGATTTGAGTGCCACATCAAAGGTTTTTCTCCCACCACAATAGTCACACTTTCAAAAAGAAAGAACAAAATGAAGGCCACATATCTTGCTATAATAATACATGAAGAACAAATTAAACACTTAAAGTGGGAGGACCAATTGATCCTTTTCTTCTTGGCATGACATTATGTTGAGAAAAACTGGATCGAGAGATCAAGAATAGAAAACGAAAAACGAAGAAAAGTTTACGTAGTTCAGTCAAGAGCCTACGTCCACCGTCCAACACATATCATCCTCTAGTAACATATGAAACATACATGACACACTAATTTATTACAGACTAAATATATATTTCCCATAATAGTTGAAAGGAACTACTAAGTGTCATCTTTCTCTGTGGTTGAGTTCAAAATTAAATGCATTTCTTGAAATGTTTCAGCACCTCATTCTGCAGTTAAAAGATTGTTTCAGCTAAAATATACTGTTTCTGCTTTTAGTGTAGTTTTGTTTTTTCTCTTTAAGCAAAGACAAGGGCATGTGGAAATATAGGAGGGCATGTTTTTTTTCCATTTAAAATTATTAAATCCCACTAATATTTTTCAGTACAAGATTTGGTAGACATTGCTGGCCCTTCAGCCATTAAATATTTGTCTCCGACTATGGCTTTAGCCCTTAAATAGTGTGTGAATGGACACACACACACACATTAACACTGTGTATTTGTCCTGTCAAACTCAAACTCCATAAATCTTGTGCTGATCCTATCCTCAATAGTGGGATTATCCCAAAACCTCCAATAACGTTTGAATTCTTGAGGCAGATGTAGTAGTACTAAGTATTTATACAGATATTGCTTTCTTGTTCATAGACCCACTTCACCAACTGGCTTGTCTGGTTCAAGCCATGGAAGTTCTGAGTGTAAAATCCCCAGTTCAAGAATCCCAAAACTCTCCCCTTCTTCTATGTTTTCTCTCTGGGTATCCCCTCCAACAAGCCGCCCTCCGGGTTTCTGAAGAAAAGAGTACGAGGAAAAAAAGTTGCAGTCTTTAGAGTGTTTGGGAGATCATTTCAATAGTTTCTGGTTTGTAAGAAAAAAAAAAGATGGAATTTTTCAATAGTTTTGCAGGGTTTTCTACTGAGAACTATGGGATTCAGAGGATGATAAGAAATGGGTCATCTTCATCTTCTTCATTGGTTTTGGATACTGAGAAGGGAGAGCTTGTGAGAGCGCTGGTGAGGCCTGGGCAAAAAGGGGTTAACCCGGAGAAGGCATTGATTGCTCTGAGGAATCATAGTGAAGCAGAGAGGCGGCGCAGAGAGAGAATCAATGGCCATTTGAGCACCCTTAGGAGCCTCATCCCTGGCACAAACAAGGTAACTTCATTCTTCCTATTTTTCACTTTCTTGATAACTCAATATCTTTTGGACTTTCTGGCTTAAATTTTGTGTATCTTTTGGACTTTCTGGCTTAAATTTTGTGTTAATGGTAGTCATAATATTTCCTTAGTTTAGTGCTTAAATTTGGCAAAAAGTAAGCAAAATTGTGGTTGTTATGATAGATGGACAAAGCAGCATTGCTTGGCAAAGTTATAAGTGAGATAAAAGAGCTGAGGAGCAGTGCATCAGAGGCTACAAAAGGGATTCTTGTGCCAACAGACACAGATGAAGTTCGAGTCGAGCAGCAGGCTGAAGGATGCGATGGAGCTTCATATTCCATCAAGGCATCTCTGTGCTGTGACTATAAACACGAGCTTCTTTCGGAGCTAAGGCAAGCTCTTGATGCTCTCCCTCTCAAGACACTGAGGGCAGAGATGGCAACTCTGGGGAGCAGGATGGTTAGCCTCTTCGTGGTGACTGAGAACGAAGAGGGGAACGATAGTGATGAGAGGCGCGAGTTCCTGGCTAGCTCGGTTCACCAGGCTTTGCGGTCTGTGCTTGATAAGTTTTATGCATCAGAAGAGTTTTCTTCGAGGACTAGTCTCTCGAGCAAGAGGCGACGAGTCTCGTTCCTCAACTCTTCAGCCTCATCTTCCCTGGGAGATTTCTGGTGATCACTGATCATAGCTTCAGTATAGTTCCTTTCAGTGCTCTAATTTTCTGTGTCTAAATAGCTTCAGTGGGTTAATAGGCATATGTACTAGCATACATGTCTTATGACACAAAAGGATTTGTATGCTACTACATATGCTTGCTTTTCTGTATATGGAAAACTTCCCCTCCTTGTTGCAATATCAATCATCAAAATAACATAAAATTCTATTCCTCAACCTCCTTTGATGTTATTCCTTTTTTGTACTCAAAGTTTCCGGTTGCCGGATAAATATGCAGTTCGACTATCAACTTGAAATAGAGCACATGTTTCAATATGGTATCAGAACCAATCCCATGCAAGAGGTCATGGGGCTGCAGTTCAACTATCAGTTTAGCCTTTTAGTTGAGATGGAACAACCAACCCACGCAAGAGGTGGTTTGCAGTCCAACTATCAGATCAGTCTTTTAGTTGAGATGGAGTACATGCTTCAATTGGCTAGATTATCTGATAGGAATGACAGTTTTCTTGAATCAGAAAACACAGAAATGATCATCTTCTGTGATGAGCTAGGACATCATCCATCTACTGTCTGCACTGATATGTCAGGTGAAAACACTAAAATGGGTAGATGAAAGAATCAAACAATTAACAAAAATTCAGAAATTGGCTATGGTTCCATTGTTTAATGTTTAACAACTAAGATTAGGTAGCCTAACATGGGTTTAGAGTTTCTGGGCTTACATAAACATGATCCTAGATTAATTAACTCTGAGATTTAGAACATATTTGGATAATTTTCAGGTTCTGACATGCCATAATTTGCACAATAATAGAAATGCACCTGCATCCATAATCCCTATTATTAGTTTTAGCATTTGGGCAACCTAACTAAATTTGTTTCACAATTAACTTGGTAACTACAAAGTTCAATGTTTATTAGGTGGATCATGCATAGGGTACATTACTTTTATATGTAATGTTCATTATTTGGATGTGTATAAAATAAAATAGTATAAAAAGAGCTTGAGAATACATTATTTGTATGCATAAGGTTCACTATTTGTGCATAGGGTTCATTATTTGAGCATGTACAATTTGATTGAAGTTTGATTATTTAGGTATGTATATTTTAAACTCATTTATGGTTGTATATGAGGTTCATTATTTGTAGAGCATAGTTGGACTTATTCGTCACACACCCACATCTTTACTTAGAAAATATGATATTTAGTAAATTTAGATTCATTATTTGTATGCATAAAGTTCACTATTTGTGTGAATATGTTATGATGCATGGTCCATACAAATATTTAAACCATGGTCTATATAAAATTTGCTCACAAATTTTTAAGTTTGACTCCTTTTAAAAAGTTGCCTATTGATTTTCTTGAACTGATCAATTATAAACAATTTAAGTTGATTTATCTCCTTGTGGTGATAGAATTACAAAACAGACTTCACTTAGAACACACCTTTTGATAAGATAACGACTTTGGACTTTTCTGTAAATCAAAATTTTAGCATTCAAAACAATCAACTGAGGTTGTAGGAGAGGGATCATGGACGGTTTTAAACTTTATCTTTTATTCATGTTGTTATCAAAATGTGGACTTTTCAATTTTAATAGGTAAAATGCAGTCAAAATCAAATACTCACAGAGATAAGTTAGAATAATATAAATTATATTTGTATTCTAACTATATACACCTACCATTTTCATTAGTGAATGCTAAGTGATGGATAAGTATCAATTAATTCGGATATATAGTCATAATCATAAAGATTAATTGATATTCTTTCAAATACTAGTACTTAGTACATGTTTTCAAAGTTTTCTTGTGTAAGATCTACACCACAGAATGAGAAAACAGAGAAATCTGTACCCAAAAATGAAACCCAACATCACAACTAAGTTGGTCCATTTCTGAGACTCCACAAGACCTTCCTGTTCCAGTAGTTGATTGCCATACATCAAACACCCTTCTTCAACTTTCTGCACACATTTTGACCTCCCATATTCACCTCCATACTCATTTACCAGAAAGCACTCAAATGGGTACTTGAAAAGGCTGAGATAATGCACAAAAAGCCAGAACTTGGGAATGGATTCCTTCTTAATGAAGTACCCAGAGAAGAGAAAAAATGAGCCAATAATACACCCCAAGAATGACATTCCCACAATGAAGTTTGGCACCAGAGCAGAACAGGCTGCAACAAAAGAGTTCCCCACCATGAAAATCACCCATGACACTAGAGAGTAGTAGAGAAATGCGTCGAAACCGGGGCGAAGTCCAACCAGCCAGTAGATTGGAATGGCATACATTAGAGCCACCAGGAGAAGAAAAGGAAGGAAGACCAGTGTGTTGGCTATGGTGTAGGTAGAGATCCGGTAGGCTCCCCGGGAGGTCTCTCTCATTAGAACTCTCCTCTCTTCCAAGAAAATTGGGAGGGCTTCTACATTTGAAGACAGCAGGAAGGTGAGACTGAAGGCGAAGAACCCGAGCTGGTTTTGCAGCTGCATTTCCTTTGGGTGCTGGAAAGCATTCAAGAAAATCGATCCCAGTAGAAACCCGACGAGTGGGGCTTGCATTAGCTTAGCCAAGAAAAGCTCTTTGGATCTGAATATGTTGCTGCAGAACCTCCTGCTCAAAATCAATACCTCCTTGAATGGAGAATTTGAGAGAAAAGTGTGTTTCTCTTTGGAATTAGGGGAAGAAATTGTGCCACTTTCTTCAGTTTCTTCCATTTGCAGGCTTTCTTCAAGGCTGTCTGTCACTTCAATTGCGAACTCAAGAACATTGACATGATGGGGAATGGAGTGCCCCATGGACTTTAACTTCTCCTCAAGAAGGTGTAAAGATCCATTGTGGAGGACAAAACCATGGGACAACAGTACAACCTTGTCAAACAACTCAAGAATCCTGAAACCAGGTTGATGGATAGTTAACACAATGGTTTTACCTTGTTTCTTAGCCATGGATTCTAGCAGGGAAGCCACATGGAGAGCTGAACCAGAATCAAGCCCAGAAGTTGGCTCATCAAGCAGAAGAACAGCAGGGTTATGGACTAACTCCACCCCAATCGACACTCTCCGCTTCTCCCCACCCGAGATCATCCTGTTCGATTCACTCCCTATCCTCACCCCAGCAACACCCTCCAATCCCAACTCCTTCACCAGCTTCGCAACCCTGTCTTTAGCCTCGCCACCACGCAGCCTGAAACTCGCGCTGTACACCAGAGTTTCCTCGACCGTGAGGTGAGGGAAAAGCGCCTCGTCTTGTGTCACATACCCCGAAACTCTTCTAAAATGTGCAGCCTTCATGGGCTGATCATTAACCAAAACATGCCCAGAAACCCTGGAGGGCACCATATTCCCAGCAAGAATATCAAGCAGGGTAGTCTTCCCAGCTCCACTAGGACCAGCAATGGCTGTCACCTCCCCATCTTTGGCCTCACAGTTAACACCCCTCAAGATATACCCAATACTTTTACTGCTTTTAAGCATCCAAGGGAACTCATTGTGCTCTGGAGGGAATCTGTAGGAGAGGTTTTTAGCTTCAAGTTTGTATCTTTCACAGCTTGGTAATTTCACAGGTAAATCCATCAAAAATTTTATCAGAGAATTGAAAATGAAATGGAGAGAACAGAAAGTGGCTCTTATTTATAAACAAAGGTTGGGCACAAAGCTAAGGTTCATTGTACTGTGTTCTGCATGCATGTATTCTGGGAGTAAATTAAATGTCACAAGATTAATGACTTTTGACACGTGATATATTGTGGAATAGATATAGAATGCCAGGTTTACAACCTTTGATCATGCCATGAAACTTGTAGTCCAATAACGTAGGGTCTAAGATAACCGGGATATCACGTTTTTGGTTAACTCACATTGGAGGATCCAGGTTGATAGGACTCATGAAATTTGTGTTTGGATGGCATAATCACGGAATTGATTCATGGATTGACAGTTTCAAAAATATGTAACTGATACCTAAATGTTCTTTCAGGTGCACTGTCATATGGTGATTGCCACATACAGGAGCAAAAAAAGGAAATTTTTTTACTGCTTCATAATTCTACTTATTTTATTATGACAAAATAAGCTAAGTGTACAACAATGACAGTTAGTATATGAGGAAATCTGAGACAAGTCTAAACTAAGAATGCCAATAAACAGCTCAAACTACAGTTAAATTCAACAGAATTTTGTGCAGTGGTTACCAAGTCAACTGTCTGAGGTTACCCTAGCACTATGAATTTTAATTTCAGCTTGATTATTTGATATTTGGAATTTGTATTTTATGAATTTAGATTTGACTTGATAATGAAAATTGTAAATTTTGAAAGAAAAATACTTGTAAAAAATAGTCTGGGTTTTGACCAAGTGATTTGTGAGAGAGGGTGTACTATAAGGTATCATCATCAGCATGTATTTGGCATGAAACAATTAGGTTGCCTGCATAGGTTGAAAGTTTCTGGTTCTAGGTATAGACGTATAGTAGACTAATTTAAAGTATTTTTTTAATTATTTTATTTTAATTAAGCTATGAATAACTTGACAATACAATTAAAAATATGCAAAAACTTGTGTGAGACCGTCTCACGGGTCTCAATCGCGGGTCAAATATTTGATTAATGATGTCAGAGATCCAACCCGTCTCACAGATTGAGACCCGTGAGACGGTCAATCTCACACAAGTGTTACCTTTAACTACAGACTCCATATGCTTGTATACTAGTACCTGCAACGAGACTAAATTTGTACCTATTTTTTGTCCTTTGTATGATACAAACCCGGCACCGTGAATTCTGTAATTTATAATTTGTTAGTTACAAAACAAAACCAACTTTTAAAAACCGATTGAAAGGTATATTTGTTAAATATATTGTAATTTAAGTTCTGATGTTACATGGCCTAACTTCTTCCATTTTAAGATATGCTTATACATTCTAATATAAATTTATTATATGTGTGTTGGGTTATGATTGTTGATTGAAGTATTGTTTTGTACCTAAATTTTCATACACCAAAAAGACTTATGTAGAATGTGTGTACGCCTTATGCACATAATCACGCCTCCAATGTGAAGTGGTACTAGTCGTAAAACAAGGAGCAATTTACGTAATTTCGGGAATATATATATAAATATATGAAAATATGAAACTCATGCGCACAGACAATATATCTATTTCGTTTTCGTATTAGTTAACGAAATACGTTTGGGTGTGTTTTTTTGTCATCGTGAGGTGTTTGACACTTCTAAATTTATACTATACTCAGACTAAATGTTTGGGTGTTTAAAAACTAATAAAAATAACTTGAAAAAAATGAGTTATTTTTTAGAAAACACTTTCATTTCTCGTGTTTGGTTGCATTCCAGAAAACTATCTTATGTTTGAGTCATTTTCTGGAAAATAAGCAGAATTGTATAATTAAAATTTTAATTGTTGTTAACTAAAAAAGATTTGACAACAGCTATGTTTTGCCCAGCTTTTTTTTTTCCAAATAACAAATATTTTTTTTTAAAAAGACTACTGGTTTCCGGCTAGAACCAGTTTTGTTTCTTCGGAAACCAATCAAGGTAGAACGCGGAGGATGGCGGAAGAAAGTCGAGGAAGCATTCCCGGAAGAAGCCAAGAAGAAGAAGCATTGGATCCGGAAAATGACTTCCCCAGGACAAAAAAAAAAGTCATTTTTTCAGGAAAACCAACTACCAAGCATTTTTCCTTGGACGGAACCCTCTCCTAAACACCGAAAATCCGAAAAATGATTTCCAGTAATTATTTTTCGGATTTCCAAACTTGTACCAACTACCTCCGCGAGTTATCCTTATAATCCACATCAAAGACTTCATGTCACAAAAAATAAGTGAGTAAAACATGTTTGTTATATGTTCTCAAAAAAAAAAAAAAACATGTTTGTTATATTTAAAACAAATGAGTTTGATTCTTGCGAACATATTCTTAGTCGAGTAAACATCGCGTCAACAATTAACTTGGAGAGCAGTCATTTTTTATGTAATCATACAAATTTGACTTATTTAGGGATCAATAATTACATTAAAAAAAATAGATTATGCAATTACATTTTCTTATGTTGTTCAATAGCTAATTTGGCCCTTGTATCTTTTTTTATTTCAATGCAATATCTCAATTATCAATTTTTTTTTTTAATGTTCCCAAAAAGTTGTTTTTTTTTTTTCTTGGTAAAAATTAGTACTCGTAATTAGGGGTGAGCAAATTATCGGTTAACCGCCCGAAAACCGCTAACCGATAACCGAACCGACCGAAAAAATCGGTTATCGGTCGGTCACGGTTATCACCTTTAAAAAATTTTCGGTTTTTCGGTTTTTCGGTTATTATACGGTTATTGGAGTCGGTTATCGGTCGGTGACCGATAACCGACATATATATATATATATATATATATATATATATATATATATATATATATATATATATATATATATATATATCTAAATCTATATGTATATATATTAACAGTAAATAATACTGTTAATATATATTATATTATTTACTGTTAACAGTAGATATTATACTATTATATATATATAATATATTAACAGTAAATAATATACTGTTAATATATATTATACAGTAGATATTATATTATTATATATATTATCAGTAAATAATATACTGTTAAACAGTACGCAGATGTATATGTATTTTAGATTTTAGGATTTAGGAATTTGGAATTTAGGCATCAGCAGTAATGACTACACAGTACGCATGTATATGTATTTTAGATTTTGTCTTTTGAAATTTGATTTATCTTGTTTGAATTCGGTTTTTTGGTAACCGGCCGAAACCGACCGAAAACCGACGGTCGGTTATCGGTCGGTCATAGGACCACCTTCGGTCGGTTTCGGTCGGTTACGAAGGTCAAAAATTACGGTCGGTTATTCGGTTATTCGGTCGGTTATGTAACCGACCGACCGTTTGCTCACTCCTACTCGTAATAGATTGTCAAATTCGGAAAAAAAATAAAAAATGATGACTATATTTGTTGGCTGCTGCATATAGATTTTTTTTTTTTTTTTTTTTTTTAGGTTCTACTCTCTAAACCCCTTCAAAATTCTGCATTTCGGCTTCTGGGGTTTTGTCTGTTTCTCTCAAAATACTATTGTGATCACATTTTACATGCAGTACATGTATGTATAGATAGCATACATATATGTTTTTTTTCTTTTTTCTTTTTTTTCTTTTTGACAATCAAAATTTGTTGACACTATTCAAAATTAATTCTGTATGAATAAATTCTGTTTTGTGTGATAATCAACAAATTAAAGTAAATAGTATTAGAAAAAACTCAATGAAATTGACGAAAAGTATAATAGTAAAAATTGAACTTATAATCTCATACAGAGTACAAAAATTATGATAGTTCTATCAACTTGCTTACTCCTGGATTTTTTTTTTCTTTTTCACTTTTAGGACATGATACCGACATTTTTATACCTTTTTCTAGAATTGAATGATGTATGCGATAAAGTTTCCTCTTTAGTACATTGTTTGGCAATTGTTAATCGCTTGATTGTTGAAACCGTAGGTTTGGAATTTGGGATAAAGTTGTGAACTTTGTCGCATGTTGCGTTCTGCTGTGTTGATGAATTGCTTGATGGGCTTGGAATGCTTTTGCGGGAAACTAGGTATGGAGTTAATTTCAGAGAGAAGAAACCCCTAAAACCCCCCTTGTTTGGCAGTTGGACCATGGATGCCTTACCTTTGGAATCTGGAAAGCATTACCTATTTGGTCATTTATACGAGGAAGCTATTTATTGTTCTTTAGGAAGCAGAATGATGCTACTTTTTGCTACAATCATCTCATACACTTATATCATCCCCATCCCTCATCCACAAAAACCAACCTTTTTGGTTTCTCCCCATAAACAGAACATTATTCCCTTTGCAAAATTAGACACATCATTTCCCCCAAATTTGAATTTTGATTACTAGGAAAGCTCAGTCCAGACAGAGGTGGTCATTCAGCAAGAAATCCTGTGTTAGCTTAGATTAAAATAGTATTTGTGATCACTAAACATGCTTTTTATGGTCTTATTGTAGTTGATATAAGATTGCTATGCAATAATATCATTGTGATGTTTTTACTTCTTTATGTGGTTTTTGGTAAATAGCTGTTAGCTGATTGGGTTAGTGAGTTTGACTAGTTGATTGCATTAGCTGATTGTAGAAAAATGTTTGGTAAATTAGCTGATAGCTGATTACATGCAAAATGACTTCTCAAAAAGCTGATCGAAAAAGCTACTTTGAGCAACTTTTTGAATTTTAGCATTTTGGAGCAATAAGTTGTTACAAAAAGCTAATTAATCAAACACTCATATTGATTGTTTAACCAAGTCAAACAGCTAATAGTGGTCAAATAAGTCAAAATTGACTGATATGCTAACTATTTTACCAAACATAGCTTATATTTTTTGGCAGACCCTTGTATTTCATTGATGGTGTGCTTTGGCTGTTGAATATTGTGATTTTTATTGCCTGAATGTATTGCTGACCCGTTCAAAGTCTTTGATTGTTGATGTTCTTTTGCACTTGAGCAGCTACACGATCTACGGGTGTTTATTTCATTGAATCACATACAACGCGGTGAAGTATTCATCAATGGATTTGAAAGCTAAATCTTGGGCTGGAAATATGTACAACAAATTTGAAGATCTGTGTTCAGAGGTAGAGCAAGTTATGTCTCAGGTGAAAGCTTATTCCTTTCAATCTGTTTCGTTCTTTTCATACATAAACTTCGTTTTGGGTTAAACCTTGTGGTTATAGAACCATGCCTGGGGGTTAAGTATTGATAGATCTTGCTGTCCTATAAGAATTGGATTGCGTTTGTTTAACATTATCGATGACCATTTAGTCACGTACATTCTGAAATTATGTTGTTTCTTACTTGCTTACTCAAAAGCAAATGTTTTTTTTTGGTCCCGATGACAAAAGGACGCTGTTAAATATGTTGAGAATCAAGTCCAGACAGTTGGGGTTCGTGTTAAGAAGTTCTGTTCAGAGGTAATGCAAGATATACGACCTGAATCTTCTATACACTCTGTGAAAGATGCTGCTGCTGATTTTTCTCTGGAAACTTACGCTCACGAGGTGATGGAGAAGAAGCCAAAATCGAGCCTCAAAGAGCATGCTCGAGGCATTTATGAGAAACTTATGGAGGATGCTCAAGTCATCAAGAGTGGTGGTACTCAAAGTCATTACTTTTTAGTCATTTCCTGATGAAACTCAAACTATTGATAGTTAATATTGTGTTCTCTGAGATGTATTCAGGGAAAAGCAAACATGGAGGTGTCTATAAACGTCGTAATGTTGGGGTAACATCCAACTCCCTAGGCATTGATCCTCCGGTGAAGATGGCTAGGACCTCGTCCCCTCCATCGGGGATGAGGAATAGGACGCCCTTAAGATTTTCTGAACAGAAGCCTGAAGATTCTGGATTTACTTCTATAAATAAAGATCAAAACTTGGAGTCAGATAAACTAAAGAAGGCTGATGGGATTCAACAAGAAGTGGAAACAGTTGAGCAGATTAAAGGGTCACATTTGATGGAAACTTGTGTCATGGTTGGAGAGGACAAGGTTCATGTTCCCCAGGAACCAGTCAAACAAAACTCATACAAGGTTGTATTAAGGTTGTAAACTTTTTCTTTTTTGGCATGCAAATGTGGTATTAACTAAACAGCTTTATACAGATCAAGATTTGGAGTGCATTTTCTTCATCAAGAAGGAGAGAATATCAACATCTTGCAGCACTATCTGCAGATCAGCCTTTAAACGCGGAGGCTGAAGAGAAGGCAATGTCTGATTCCGAGTGGGAGCTTCTCTAGATTGGATACTTAATATTGTATCGCTTGTCATACCTAAACTAGAGCTCTATTATCGAAGATTAATACAGTTGCATAGTACTTTAAAAAACTCAATTTTCATCTTCATAATTTTCTTCCATCTGGTTTTGAGCAAAACCAAGATTCTAATCTATAAGATAAAATCCTCAAGCATTCAAGAAATGCTTTGCTTAGTTTGGAGTGATTAAAAGTAGAATGTTAGGTAAATGCAGCCAATTGACATTTATTCATAATTGGGTATTCTAAAGCTGAAGAGGATTATAGAATGAGACACATGCATCACACCAAATGTATGCTTACAACCTGTGTGCTTTACACCCACTTGCTCTTTCCATGAAAGCTTCCTTTGTGCAGTGGGTGGGTCAGCCATGGAAGAATATGCTCAACCATTGCCCCATGCACCCCCCACCTTTGAGTTTGCATATATGTCTTCTTGCCAAGAATATAAAATCAATGAAACCAAAAATGAACGACACACTATAAAAATCTGAGTCTTTCGATAAATCGATAGCCACAAGATCAGTTGTTAACGATGTATGAAGCATTTTTAGAGGATCTTTCAGAATTTACAGTTCCATGGTGGAATCATTATAACTCGAGGTGAGTAAATCTGGGTAGCAATTCGTTTCTCGAATGGACATGATTAATAGAGTAGACTCAATCCTTACTTTACAACTCTTGTATAGCATTTAACAAAAAGTAAAGGTGCAGAATAATTGTTATGTGGATCCCAAATCACTTACATAATAAATAACACAATTTTGATTGTTACACTATAATAGAACGTGACGGGTCGGAGAGTATATTAAGCACAAGACTTTAAGGTAAAGGGTGCCTTTCAGTGCAACCCAACAAATGTGACAAGGGAAAAAAGGAGAAGCTTTTTCTAATGGGGGCAGCCACTGAAAATTGCCTTTTGGAAAATATTGTGATTGAAAATAATAATGGTAGTGTTGATTAGAAGTAAAGTCATAATTCATAGTTCATAGTTTTAGTACATAGAATTTTCTTCGTTTTTGTTTTTTCGAATAAAATAGAATGGAGCCTGTTTCGGCTCTTTTTCAAATTGAATACAGCCAAGGCTTCAATAAATTACGTGTGGATAAAAATTTGGCCAATATGGGTCCCCCCCCACCCCCACTATTAAGAAGTATAATAATTAATTTATGTTTTTTTTAGATGATGAAAAACTTGAGGTCTTTACCCAAGTCTTAAAAGACGGGCTAAATTGAGATTGTATCAACAAAATTTAAACTCGTACAAAAATTATGTTTACCTACAAGATAACACCTTTTGAGATAAATTATGAATTTTTTTAATTTTTTTTAGTAAAAGAAAAACATAAAATAAAATTACGAAATAAATAAGAAGTTAAGATCACTAATAAGTAATAACCATTATATTAGTCACTTAGCTAAAGAATTTAACAAAAAATTATAGTAAAATATAAATTTAATATGACCATAAATGTCAAGAGATTATGATAAAAGAAAAAAAAATTACAACTATAAATAATTTTGAGAACATTAATAATTATAATATTAAAATTTGAGGTAATTATAATTAATTGGTAATTACAAACTAAGGTTCTAAATTTGAATTGTAATTAGAACTGCATAGTGATCTTTTTAATTTGAACTAATTAATTATGAACAATTTAAACCAATTTATCTCATTATATTTCTTTATTAACTAATTATAAAACAGAGATACTTTCAAATAGCTGTCAAAGACTATTAAAATTTTGTCGTTCTATTACTTAATTGATTTATTGATGAATAAGTCCGTGTTAAATACTCCGTATTAAATAGCATGGCCCTACAAAGAGGCATTTCACTTTTTACATTTTATATTTTTTAAATTGATATTTTAACTTGTTCTTTGCGTCTCAAACTTAATAATTGAGGGTTGTAGATAGAATACAACTGGAAATTAAGGATACTGACAATCACATATTTAAAACGCAATGCAACCAAATTGCTATTAAACAAATAATTTATAATTTATTTATTTGTCATCTAATTATCACTTCTTCTTTTTTTTTTTGGACTATGTTACACATTCTAATTTTATCACTCACAAGTCTGGAGTCACAACTAACGACTCTATAATATTACAAAAATCCTAAACATTAATTACTTTTATACTATGTATGAATGATATAGTTTTTTTTTTAAAAAAATATTAGATAAACTCCATAAGTAAATGTCTTTTAACTAAAAAAATTTCTATTGGAATTGAGATCTCTTAATTTTTTTTTCAAAAGTATAATTGAATCATAATTTTACATTATTAAGCAGTTTACTACTGATTCGATGCTAATTAGGTTTTCACATGCGGTCAGGTCAATGGAGCCCTTTGGGGAGAGGAATTTTATCATTTTTATGGGCAACAAGGTTTCCACATGTACTTTATTAAGATGTGGTTGTAACTTGCCATGATTTGGATAATCTTATACGTAACTTTTTTTTACAAAATGCGATGATAAGTGTCAAATATATATTCTAACTATATACCAAAATACAATTAGACTCTTGAACATTAAAAAAAAAAAATTCAAATAAGTTCTGAAACTTATTAAAATTGTGCAATTAACCAATACGTGATTAACAGATACGTATTGAATAGAGATATGATTAGCCCTTAGTTGCGTGAGGCCATTGGAGATAGGATTCAACCTTTTAGGAACAATGATTAGTCTTTGAGTTACACTTTTGATTTGTTTAAGGGGTCTTGATTTATTTATTTTTAATTAATAAGGGATCTAATTGCACTAAACAATTAAATTTTATTTGATGAGTTTGATTCTCAAACTTAATGGTGTCTCACTGTACTGTTCTTGCGGTTGATGTGAAAAGTATTTATAAGGTTAAATATATTTTGAGAGGATTGTCAAGCACCTTGTGTTCAGATAGTATGTACTGACATCTCCCATGTAAGATGTCATAAGATCGAACCTTAATAGAGGTGTTATTGACTCTGTGTGCTTCATTAAGTTGAGAAAGTATGTTTGAACACATACTATGCTAAAATTTTGTCTGCATCTCTATTGCACCTTCTTGAGGTAAAATATCATTTATAATTTGTTAGTTAATGATATGATGTTAGATTGATTGTTACTCAAAGCATCAAAATCAATTTGTTATTATGGGTCATAATCAATCATAATAATACGGTTAGGTCAGAATCAATACATAATTCACCTTATCACCCCACTCACCACTATTAAATTACACTAACTCAATATCGACTTCCCTTTCTTATTTCTAATTTTAGGATATAATTTATTGTCCCAAATCATACTCTATAAATTTTACGAGCACTGATATGTTACTTTTTTTACGTGAGTCCCAATACAAATATCAACATTAAGATTTTGTGTGTGGGAGTAAAATTTGATAATAGAAAATGAGAATACATATAATATTTTCCTAATTTATTCCACTATAATGATTTTTTAGTTATCTAATTTTTAAAAAATATTTTACTTTTAATCCAAAATCTCCTTAAAATTTCACAAAATGATAATATTTTGAGCATTTGTTATTTATTAAACGAACCCTTTTTAAGGACATCTCCATTAGTGTTTTTAATTGGCATGATTTTTGAGGCCATATATCCTAAGTGAAAGTGAGAGAAGAAGAGAGAAAATTTGAGAGTGTTGTAGGAGAACCAGTTTTTTGTCTTAATTGTGGGCCCTACTAGTCAATCAGAACAAATTTGCCTAGTGCATGTGAGGCCCCACCAGGAGCGCCCAGTCGGGCGCGTTAATGTGATTTTTTTTTATTCAAGTTTTTTTTTTTTCTTTTTTCCTTTTTTCTTCCCTCCCATCTCCTCTTTCCTAGTCACGCCGCTGAAAAAACTCTTCAAAAACCACAATGATTGGAGATGCTCTAAGTTTAAAGATTAAAATATAAAAGAAAAAAAAGACATTATTGAACTTTAAATGAAAAGTCAATTAGACTCATGAACTATTAAAAGTTATAATTAAACACATCAACATATCATTTTTGTGTATCAGCACTCAAAAACCAATTATTCACATGTAATAACCGATTATTAAGATTGCGGTTAGTTTTGGCTAACAAAACCAACAACCTAATAAACTTTTTTTTATAAAATTTAGGGACATATTTAACCATTTTTTTAAATATAAATAATGTTACTTATAGTCGAAGACTAATAATAGTAAAATACAATCTTTTTATGACAGATTATTATTATTATTATTATTATTATTATTATTATTATTATTATTATTATTATTATTATTTGCCTTCTATAAGGTATATTTTGATTGTTTCAGGAAAATAAGTGAGTCACAGTTTCTATATATCTTTTCTTTTCTTTCTTTATATTTTGGACTTGTTGCAGAAATTTAACCGTATATTTATGATTTTTGTTTTGGATATATGCATGGCAGGGCTGGCATGGTGAAAGAGGAGAAGAAGAAGATAGATGAGAGGGGCCGGGGCACATGGAGGGTTGGAAACATCTTACACACTCCCTGCCGCCCATTAACGCTCCACTTGCAACAGAGTAGCTTTGCTCTCTCACAATTTTATTCTTCTTTTCCACTTCCATTTTTATCTAATTAATTAATAAATAATGATCCAAATGTAAGTAATCACATGCCCTCACATTAATTATCTGCACTGCAGATCTCCATTACTTCCTATTTCCTAAGCTAGGAGGAAACCTCAAATGTTAGAGCCCACAATTAAGGTTGGTGTGTTCCATCTTAATCGAAAGATTGAGCTGATAATTGATATTTATATTTATGTCTTTCAGGTACAGATGGATGAATTCCAAACAACACGGAGTATGTTGAGCATATAGCCATTAATGTGCAATCCAACTATCAATTTAGATTTTTAATTGAGATGGAACACATGTTTCAATTTAGAGTTAGAGCCATGCTAAAGGTTATGGGGTGGATATTTATTGTCCAGCGTTGGGACAGTAGTTTATTATTCCCCTAGTTTGTGAATCAAAACCTAATCATATGATTTTCAAATACAATACGAAAAGAGAAATGGCAGGCAGGCAACCCCACAGCCTGAGTAGATCAAATCCATATATATCATACAAACATTTTTCAAAGACTCTGATCTATATATATTTGCAGTCACCCCCTTTAAGCATGTGCGACCCTCCCTCCCTTCTTCCCCACCCACCCAACCCACCAAATATATACGTACACACCCCTTGTATATAATATTATATATAGATACTGCGTACGACATCTTTTCCTCCAATCCTCGTCTCTTAAACAAGATGGGAAGACTCGTGCTCAGAGCTCTGTTCTTCTCACTCTTCTTACTCTTCTCTTCCCTGCAAACAAACACAGCCTCAGAAGACTCCAACAACTCCACAATTGCAGGTCGTAAAACTGGAGGAGGAGGAGGGTGCAATATCTTCAGAGGAAAATGGGTGTACGATGCATCTTACCCACTCTATGATTTCTCAACTTGTCCATTCTTGGACGATGAATTCAATTGCCAGAAGTACAGAAGACCCGACACCCAATACCTCAAATACAGATGGCAGCCTTTCTCCTGTAATCTCCCAAGGTAATATATATTGAGTTCTTAGATTTTGTTTTTATTTTTTAAAACTTTCAGCATTTAATGATTATAACTGCCCGCAGGTTTAATGGGTTGGCGTTCTTGGAGAAGTTCAAGGGGAAGAAGATCATGTTTGTGGGTGACTCACTGAGTTTGAACATGTGGGAATCGCTGGGTTGCTTGATTCATTCATGGGTGCCCAGGGCAAGGACAAGCATGATAAAGAAAGACGGGCTAGGAGAAATAGTTTTCCTGGTAACTCACTTTATTTTCTGTTTTTCTTTGAAGATCAGAGCATGCCGTAATTATATGTCTGCCCATGCCATCTTGTTTTTACCATTAATTTGGCCTGCAAATTATTTATATAAGATGGTCGTACGAGCTGAGAAAAAAGAAACATTTAAGAATGAAGATGTTTTGATCGAATTGAATCAAACACTAGTTCTTGGTTTTGTTTAACAGCCATTCCTATGAATTTGGCAAAAATGATTGGTGGTTTTCTTTAGTGCATGCATGTCTGGTCCTTGTCCCCCATCCTGCTTTTGGGGAGAGGTAAAGCTGTTACTGTTGCCTAACCTTTTCCATATTACACTCATTTTCTTTCTAATTATGGTTTAAGTCAATCAGTTATAATCAATCTAAACTGGTTTATGTGTTTATGATTCTTTACTGATTAGAGTCTGAAAACGAATTTATCCCGTGAAGAATAATGACTAAAAGTTTTTTTGGTAGAAAAACAAAAATCATCAACATTTTCGTTTTCCCACCATCACTGCATCATCATTAACAGCTGCATCTTGAAACTTTTGGTGGTAATTGTTGAAATTGAAATAGAGGATTTCAACTTTTGGGCCAAGTTGCAGTTGGCATGGAAATTTTGCCTTCAAATACTTGGGCGGCTGGGCTGGTCGTCTATTCTTGATTGCTTTCGAAAAAGACAACGTTGAACGTTGAAAACACTGGTCTTCTTACCCAAAACCAATAAATGTAAAAAAAAAATAATAATTTTTTTTTTTTAAAACAGAATAAACCCACCAAACACGGGTATTTAATATTTATTTGTCATTTTTATCCTTCATATTTTACCTTTATTTTCAACATTCTTGATTTGGTGTTTTAATTCCTCCTTGAAACTTCCAACTTCCATATAATTTCAATTACGACTCTATAATACTTGATTCAATTCTAACCGTGACCAACTTTACTAAAAATTACTCATTGCTCGAGACTATGCATGCAATTAAAACAGTATTTACTGCAGTACTTTATAACCCATGTGAATTCAGTATTCTGTCAGAGATTCTTTTTTTATTTTTTCTTTTAAAAAATTTGTTTAAATAATATAGGAAATTTGATTTATTTCAGCGTCCAATGGGGTTTAGGATTTGTATTTTGTTGGATTGTGAGAAATAGAAGGGAACATGCATGCACTTATGAGTGTATTAAGGATAAATTAAGCAAATTACAGTATTAAGGTGGACGTAATCATGAAAAGGGACATTTGCTTCTTAGCTAAGATGGAAAAGAGATGGTCAATGGACACTCTAATCCTCTAAAATCATTCCGTCATTTGTTTTGGCCTAAATTTCAAAATCTAATTATTATGCTACTTTGAACGGTTTAAATGAGTATGTTAGAGATTTTTACAATTTCATTTTTTTTATTAGTTATTCGTGTTATTTGTATTGGATACGTAAATTCTTTATTTTTGTTAGGGAGATATGTTATTTTTATTAAATACGTGAATTCTATATTAATTAAGGATTGAGTCAATCAATTCAATCGTAATCCACAAATATATATATATTTTAAAATTTTAGGGTGAGTGTTAATTGTAGTGATTGGAATCATTTTGTTGTTTGAGAATTTGTTTTTTTTTTTTAGTTGAATTTTGAATTGAGTTATGTGTGGAGTGTGGGTGGAAAAATTGGACCACGGTTACCTGCGAGATTAGTGGGCAGATCGACAACTCACTTTTAAAACTTATTTCAAAATGGACTGTCCCTCCAGTCTTTATGACAACTCATATGTGGGCCACATACATGATATATTTTCTTTAGATTTTTTTTTAGTAGTATATTAACTTTATTACAATGTAGTATATGTTCATAATTATTTTTTCAACCCATACGATGCAGGATTATGATGTTCGATTACTGCTGTATCGCACGCCATACCTGGTGGACATGGTGAAAGAGAACGGTGGAATAGTTTTGAAACTGGACTCCATACAAAACGGCAACGCGTGGAGAGGAATGGACGTCCTGATTTTTAATTCTTGGCATTGGTGGACGCATACCAAAAGTTCCCAGCCGTATGATTCTCATATTAAAATCTTAGAAATTTGATTATGGTTAACGTTCTCTTAATCAAATCGGCCGCTTAAATATCCTTACACTGTAATTGTGAATTTCTTTCGGCATCCAAAATAAATTGTTAAGTTGATGATGGAATTGAATTGCATGCAGGTGGGATTATATGCAAGAAGGAGGAAGATCGTTCAAAGACATGAACCGTTTGATCGCTTACTATAAAGGGATGACCACTTGGGCACGATGGGTTAACCTCAACATTGACCCATCCAAAACCAAAGTCTACTTCCAAGGAATCTCCCCCACCCATTATGAGTACGTTATTTTCTTGCCCCATTAACATTAACATGTCTATACTATCTGTTAAGATCAAGGGCGACATTAATAACATTAGTTAGACCAAACGCTTATGCTAAAAGTTATGATCAGGGGCAGGGAATGGGGTGAGCCATCAAAATCGTGTAAAGGGGAAAGCCAGCCATTCTTTGGGGTTGGGTACCCGGCGGGGACGCCGGCAGCAGCGGTGGTGATGAACAAGGTGCTAAGCAGACTGAAGAAGCCAGTTTACTTGCTGGACATCACCACACTATCACAGTACAGAAAGGATGGGCACCCCACTTATTACAGCGACCACCACACCATGGATTGCAGCCATTGGTGCCTCCCTGGCTTGCCAGATACTTGGAACCTTCTCCTTTACACTACTCTATTTAATTAATCAATACATATATAGGTCATTTATATATATATAGACGGACCACCACAAAATCTTAGGTCGTCGTTAAGATTCTTTGTTCAAGGAAGTGGAATTGTTGGATTGGTGAATAACGGGAACTAACGGAGATCACACTGCAATTGTAAAGCCACAGGTCCACATTAATTGTTTCCGGGCATGAGAGGTTGCCTGGGTTCATGAAATTGGTCTCGTTTGGTGTCTTTATTTCTTTCTTGATTTATGTAGATTTCACATTAATTATTGAAAACTGTGAAGGTTTTTGAGGTTTTTTTTTTTTTTTTTTTTTTTTTTTTTTACTACTGATTGATTTTGAGATTGTTTAATTTGATGGGTAATCAAATTTCTATATGGATAAGAGTAATTATTGATCTTTTTAGTTTAAATTAATTATTCTTTTAAAAAGTTGAACCCAATTCTAAGGACCTCACAGAGTATATGAAAGGGGTGTTGCTATTTGCACCACCCTTTAGTCAAAAGTAGGTATAAAGTATCTTGAAATTGTAAAAAGGTGAAAATTTTCAATAATTACATAGGTGGTGTAAATAGCCAAATGGGGATTCATTTTGCTATTTACACCACCTTGGTCAAACCTCATTTATGAGGTGTAATTAATAATTTTTTAATTCAAAATTTAATTAAGAGAAAATGATACTTTTTTCCCCTAAGTTATATACTTATAGTACTTTTTACCCCTGAATTATTCATGTTAGCATATTAGCCCCTCAACTATTCTAAAAGTGACGATTTCCCCCCCCCCCCCCCAATTCAAAATTTATTTATTTATTTATTTATTATAAATTCTATTTCTTATTTTAAAAATAATATAAATTCAATAATTATTTTATTTTATTTTATTTCATTTTTTCGGTTCTGAATCGTAAGTATAAGAAAATAAAGTTGTGTTGTGCCTTCAGAATTAGTTAGATTTGTTCTATATTTTCTTAAACATTTTTAACCCTAACAGGGCGTTTGGTTGGTGGGGGGAATTATGTGGGAAAGGAATTGTAATTCCATGGGAGTTGAATTACTGGGAATAAAGTGGGAATTTAAATTCCAGTGTTTGGTTGACAGGAATAGAATTACTGGGAATTTCAATTCCAATGTTTGGTATACATGGGAATTGAAAGGGAATAAGTAGTATAAAGTAAAAAATGTCCATTATTGTTATTAGACATTAATTTTAGGTTAAAAAATAAAGGGATAATTTTGACTCATCACTATCTTTTTTTCCCAGGAATTAAAATACCAGGGAGGGACATGGGATTTTAATTCCATGAAAATGAGGGAATTGCAATTCCATGGAATTGCAATTCCCTCCAACCAAACTACGGAATTTAATGGCCTTTGGAATTAGATGGGAATTAAGTGGGAAGGGAATTTAAAATCCCTCCAACCAAACGTCCTGTAAGAATCTAAGCTCCACTCCCAAGGTTCGGACCTATGACCATTTATTTGAAATGGTAATTGAAATGTCATCATATTACATGATAGTTGGCTTAATCATATTATATATAATTAGTATTGTCCCGTGCGATGCACGGACTAAATATTAAAAATTTGTTTGTAATGTTAGAATAGGTAAAAAAATGATTTTAATAATGGTATTTGAAGTACAGAAGAAGAAAACATGAACCACAATTTAATTGTTTAAAATTACATTTTTATTAAGTATATGACAAAATAATTATGATATTGTATTTACAATATTTAATTTAATAATTGAAAATAGTATGAAAAAGTTACTATATATTATTAATCGCAACTAGCGGTATACATATTTAATCTTGAGTATGTTTACTCCTAGTATGCTACCCATGCGATGCACAGAATGAATATTAGACAACATTATAATAATATTATTTATTAAAAAATACATAACCTAATATCAACATAGTTGCAATTCATATATATATATATATATATATATATATATATATATATATATATATATATATATATATATATATATATATACACGCATACCATATGGTCTTGTGAAAATTACATGTTGTTAATACCAACATTTAACCATTAATATCAACATTTAATTTTCACAAGACCATATGGCTTTATTATAATTAAGATTAAGATAATCATATAAAAACCAATTGCTGTTAAATCAAAGTAATTGTAGATTACTAGTATATATGTCCTTTAATGAAGGTGTGCATTCCTCAAAAAGAGAGAAATCAAATATAATCTTAGATATAAAATCACACTCCAAAATGCCATTGGAACGTAATGGATTGTCAACTTCAATATGACTGCGAAAGCCTAAGAAATCAATATTTTTCCCCCTTTTTAATTGGAATGAAGTTCAGAAGAATAATATATAACACGTGTGATTGCAAATTAAAACAAACTCCCTTTGGCTTTGCTTACGATTCAGAACCGAAAAAATAAAATACAAAAAAATAATTATTAATTTTTTTTAAATAAGAAATAAAATTTATAATCAATAAATAAATTTTGAACTGATAATAATAAATAAAAAAAATTGTTTGAACTGAACCGTGACCATCCGTACATATAAACAATAATTTGTTGGAGAAGAAAAAATAAATGAACTATTTAGTTTTAATGGTAAAAATGTCTATCAAACATAAAAGGAAGAAAACATGCCACTTTTAATATAACTAGGAGGCAAATGTGGATACATGAATAACTAAGGGGGAAAAGTGTTAAAAGCATATACCTAAGGGGAAAAAGTGTCATTTATAATAAATATTTGTTAAAAAAATAATGTTTGACTAAAATTATTGAAGGTGGTGCAAATAGCAATTTTTCATTTACACCACCTAAAAGTTATCACACCTATTAAATAGGTGGTGCAAATAGCAATTAGGGTGGTGCTCTGAACATGAATTAAGAGGCTAGACCTTTATTTATTGCGGTAATTCTGAACATGAATTAAGAGGCTAGACTTTTACTTATTGTGCACAAGAAGCCTCTTAACTTGGAGAGGTTGCTCCCACGCTATTATGGATGAGATTCGATATTAATCTTTCAAACTACATCTCTAAAGGCCCGCCACACTTCGACCTGACAGAATATTTGGAAGGAATTAGTTATGAATAATGTTGTCGATTAAAATTACAAAACAGGCTTTAATTTATACATGCCTTTAAGTAATGAAGTGATGCATGCGTGACACATAGTATTTTTAGGTATCAAACCACGTAGGCTGTCGGCATGACACGTCTGGGAAACTATATATCTTAACACCCAAATTTTTAGCTTACTCATACTCTGTGGAACTCCCCACCGCAACACGTGGCGTTTCTAGAGATCAATCGTCTATCCGCATCTCAATCTTGGCTCTGCGTACCGCCATTGCCACCCCATTTATACCCCGGCCTTATTCCTTTATTTCTATCACCAGATTCAATCCAATACGAATATACGATACAGAAAAAAGAGCAGAAGAAGAAGAATTTATTAGTGCCGTGCAATAATGGCTTCAGAGCAATTGAGAAGAGACAACAAGACGGGCGAAAGAGCGGTCGAAGTGGAGAAGGATAGAGTCCCGAAAATGGCCAGCCACTTCGAGTCGCTGGCGGAGAAAGTCGCCGACGACACTGCTGCGGATTTCCATCCCGCCGCCGTGCGTGTTACTCAAACGACGGTCGCCACTACTGAACATGAAGATCAAGGCAAAACCGCACAGAAAGGAGGGAGGGCGGTGCACGACCAACAAACCCGCGGCACCACCGCTCAGCGTGAACACGATCAAGCCAAGTCTTGGAAAGCAACCGAAGAAACCCAGGCCGGGAGACATGATGATATTCAACAAAACCGGCCTGTTAGAGTTGGAGGGATAGAGTTCTACAGCGGCCAAGACGCCAGAAGTGGAAGAGATGAAACCACAAGGCGGCAAGGATTTGAAGAGCGACCTGGAGGGGTGAAATTTGAAGTCCACAGTGGCCAAGGAGGAGGACAAAGCACACGGCTTCAAGGGCTTGAAGAGCGACCTGGAGGCGTCAAAGTTGAAGTCCACACTGGCCATGGCGGTGGCGAAGAAAGAAGGGATCATAGTGGGCTTTCATTGGAGGAGATAGGGAAGTACAGACAAACTGCACAACAAAAATCCATTGACGCTCTTCAAACCGCTCAAAACAAGTACGAAAAGGCCAAAAACACTACGAAGGAAAACGTTCAATCTGGTTCTCAGTATCTTGTTGAGAAGGCCGGAGCTGCTAAGGACACTGCTCTCCAGAAGACCCAGCAAGCTTATAATGCCGCCAAAGATACCACCATTTCCAAGACACAACAAGCTAAAGATACATTTTCAAGCACAGGACAAACTGCAAAAGATTACACAACCCAATCCGCCAAGCAGACTAAAGATACACTCTCAAGTGCAGGGCAAACTGCAAAAGACTACACAGTACAATCCGCCCAGCAGACTAAAGATACACTATCAAGTGCAGGGCAGACTGCAAAAGACTACACAGTACAATCAGCCCAGCAGGCTAAAGATACACTTTCCGGTGCAGGGCAAACGGCGAAAGATTACACAGTGCAAACGGCGCAGCAGGCTAAAGAGACGCTTTCAAAAGCAGGGCAAGCCGCCAAGGATTATACAGTGCAGGCTAAAGATTACGCTTCACAGAAGGCAGGGGAGGCAGGGAACAAAGCTTCCGAGGCCAAAGAGCGCGGAACGGAGATGAGCAAGAATGCAGCGAGCTATGCCGGGCAGAAAGTGACCGAGGCTAAAGACGTCACGGTGGAGAGCGGAAAAGGGGCAGTGGGGTACGCCGGGAAAGTGGCGGAGACACTGAAAGACACGGCCACCGTGGGTGGCTGGGGAGCCGCACAATTAACCGCCGGCACGGCTGCACAGGCCACCAAGGTTGCAGCGGGAGTGGCAGCAACTGTCGCAGGGTATGCCGGGAAAACGGCAGGAGCCGCCAAGGATGTGGTGGCCGGAGCTGGACGGAGCGCGGCGGATTATGCTACTGACAAACTGGCGGCTGCAAAGGACTACGTAGTGTCCGCAGAAGAAAGCGCAGCAGAGTATGCAGCTAGGAAGAAAGAAGAAGCTAAGAGACAATCACAAGCAAAGAAACAGGAACCAACAAAGGTACTAATATACTCCCTATACATTATATATATATGTGTCTGAGTTCTGGGTTAGTTGATTAATTCTTTATCGAACTTGGATCATCCAAGGGAGAACCCGGAGGGAGAAGTACATTCACCAGCAGCGAGGGAAAACAAGAAACAAGAAGCGGAGAAGGCGATAGGAGCAGCATACTTGAGCCAGTGGGGAAAATGCAGACGGAATACTATGAGGAAGGAACCGGAAACAAGGAAGAAGGAGGAGGCGGAGCAGGGGTCCTCCAAGCAATCGGCGAAACTATAGTTGAAATTGGGCAGACCACTAAAGATCTTGTGACAGGTAGTGATGATCAGACGCCGAGGTACGATGAGAGGGAGAGTGAGTCCAGGGGAATGGACACAAAATCCTATCATCATCGTACCAAGTAGCCACTTATAAGTTAGTTCATGCAAAATAAGTTATTTTATTTTATTTTTGTGTGTTTACTACTGTTTGTAGCTAGCTTGGGGTGTTTAAACCTTAGCATGTGAAATAAAAATTGTGGTCCATAGTTGGTCGTCGAATCAAAGCTTTGAACCAGAAAATAATAAAAATTTTGTCACAAAAAAATAAATATTATTCCCAAAATTAAAGGAGAAGTAATAAGTTTCATGAAATTGTTACGTACTGTAAGAATTCTGGATCGTTCTCTAGTTGATGTAATGTGTGGGGATGGATGGAGAGCTCTATGTCTACACTCCCTTCTTCACATCCACCAAAAAGTGTCACTTTTCCGTCAAGCTTATTGCCCCCGCCGCTCCTCACTTGAACTGGTTTTCCCCACCCGAAATCGGTGGCGTACACGTTGAACCACGGAGAGCTGCTAATGCCCAAGGTATTAGCCGAGAATAACTCCCCCCCAACAAGTGCCGGAGACTCCACCCACTTCTTATACTGCTTCATTGCTTCTTCATGACTCTGCTCTTGAACTGCCTCCTTTATCTGCCAAGCAACCCAACCAACTCCTTTCCCTACCACCTCCCCTGCTTTGAGCGTAACTTTCTTGAAATAAAACCCGTTTCCCCAATACCCTTCCGGTAGAGGAATCCTGGGTCGCGTACCGATACCCAGAAAGAGATGAACGTGTTCGTTACTGTCAAGATGGCGAGCGCGAGTGATACACCGCCAGAGATGAGCCATATAAGACTGCAGGGAAGAAAAAGAAGACGTACTAATAATCGTTGTTCCCATTTCGGAGTTGACTTTTTCTTTGAGTTTAGCGATGTTTTGTTTGCTTAGATGGAGGATCCTTTTTGGGAATGACCTTGGCGGGGATAGCCTTGCACGCTCGCTCATCACAGGGAGATGAATCGGGCAGGTAGTGTTGCCTGGAAACCAACGTTCATGGATGGGAGTTATTGAAGGTTGATGAAAACCGCGAGATAACTCCGACCACGAGTTGAAGAAATTCCAAAAGGAAGTGCCGTCTCCGAGGGTGTGATTCAATGTGCAGGCGATAAAGTAGCCATCCAGAAGCTCAGTTATTTGCACCCCCATCAGAGGCTTGGAGATCCCGTCGCGGTTGAGAATGCCATTGAGGGTGGAGAGATCGGAGTATCTGCGGCACATTAATGTTGGACCGATCAAGAATTGCAGCCACCGTGAGGCCACTAGCTTTGGCTTCTACAAACTCAACACCTGCATTGTTACAATCAACATATATATATATATATATGTATATTATATTTTCCTTTTGTCATTTATTCACTTGTCATTTTTATATATTTTTCCTATTTATATTATTTAACTTCTATAATTCTCTGTTTCAAAAAAACTTCTATAATTCTCAATTTTCGATTCGTCGCTTTTTCATTATTCCGCTATATTCCTAACAAGTGGTATCAGAGCAGTTTAATTGAGAGTTATTTTCAAAGATGTCGACTGTTACCAAGTTCGATATTGAGAAGTTTGACGGGAAAATTAGCTTTTCTATCTGGAAGGTTCAGATGGAAGTTGTTCTAACCCAGAACGGTTTGAAGAAAGTGCTAGCTGGGGAGAAGAAGAAACCGGCTACAATGACAGATGAAGATTGGGAAGATTTGGATGACAAGACACGTTCAACCATTCTTTTGTGCATGTCTAAAGAGGTTCTACGTAAGGTAGTAAGTGAGACGACTGCGTCAGATTTATGGTCCAAGCTGGATACGCTTTACATGGCCAAAACTCTGGCGAACACACTACGCCTGAAGGAGCGTCTGTACACAATCCGTATGACGGAAGGTACTTCTATTAAATCTCACTTGGATGAATTCAATTCTATTTTATTGGGGTTGGAAAATATTAATGTCATAATTGACGATGAGGATCGTGCTGTTTTACTGCTTATCTCTCTCCCTAGATCATACAAGCATTTCAAAGAAATTATGTTGTATGGTAATAGTAGTGATACCCTTACTTTCGACAATGTTAAGTCAAACATATTGTCCAAAGAAAAGTTTGACTTTGAAATTAAGACCGAGGAAAAAGGTGAAGGCTTGACCGTAAGGGGTCGTTCACTTGAAACATAGACTAGCAGTAAAAATTCTAGGTCCAAGTCCAAAGGACGTAAGTCCAACAAATCCTGTAAGTACTGCAAGAAGCATGGTCATGATGTGACTGAATGCTTCAAGTTGAAAAACAAGCAAGAGGGAAAAAAGAAGTCTGTTGAAGCTAGTGTTGTTGAAAGTGATTTAAAAAGCGATGTGATGTTATCTGTTAGCTCCGGTTGCAAACGGAGCGAAATCGAGTGAATTTTGGACTCTGATTGTACATTCCACATGTGTCCTCACAAAGACTGGTTCGTCTCTCTGGAACCGGTTGGTGGTGGAGTTGTCTTGCTGGGTAATGATACCAATGCAAGGTTAGTGGAATCGGAAGTGTGCAGATTAAAACTCATTATAACGTTGTCAGGACTCTTACCCATGTTCGTTATATTTCTGATTTGAAACGCAATCTAATATCATTGGGCACCTTGGAATCTCTAGGTGCAAGTACATGACTGAAGGTGGAGTTCTGAAAGTCATAAAAGGCTCTCTTGTTCTCATGAAAGCTTCTCGTTCTGGAAGCTTGTACGTCATGCATGGCAGTACTGTGACACAGGTTCAGTAGCGGTATCCTCATCGATGTCTTATGCGGATCTCACTCAACTATGACATATGCGTATGTGGCATATGAATATTAATATTTTCAAATTATGTGCATAACTGTTTAATTTGTATTACATTTGGTCCTATCGTCAAATTTTGCCAGCCAAGTTTTTAGGCAACTATTGCTGTAATTTCAACTAGAAAAATAATATGTTCTAATTAAAATGATATTTTTAGCCAATTATTAGCGGAAAAATTATTTCTTTTTGTTGAAATTCTAACAATAGTTAGCCAAAAAATTAGAAATATTAATAGTGAAGAACCAAATTTCATACATGTACAAGCTAGAGTGAATAGACCACTTTCAATGTTATTCAATGTTAAAGAAGACACAAACCAACCAAAAAGCTGAGAAGAAAGGAAATGCCGATATGGGAGAGGCCACCCCTTGACAGTTGACACACAACTGCAGAAAGACATAACCCTCAACTGAAACCTTCTTCTTGCAGAAAACAAGAAGAAATCGAGGGCGACACATGCAGTTTTGTCATCTCTCATGCTATTGTTTATTTATTAGTTTCCTGGAATTGTGAAATACTCCAAGAATTCGGCATCGTTTTCTAGTCCAAGTAATGTGTGGGGATGAATGGAGAGCTCTATGTCTACGCTCCCTTCTTCACATCCACCAAAAAGTGTCACTTTTCCGTCAAGCTTATTGCCCCCGCCGCTCCTCACTTGAACTGGTTTTCCCCACCCGAAATCGGCGCCGTACACGTCGAACCGCGGAGAGCTGCTGATGCCCAGCGTATTAGACGAGCTTGGGATCTCCGCCCCATTGTGCGCCGGAGATTCTACAAACTTCATATACATCTTCCTTACTTCTTCTTCATGGCTATGCTTTTCGACTGTTTTCTTAATCTGCCAAGCTACCCAACCCAGTCCTTTTCCTAAAACATCCCCTGCTTTAATCGACTCTGTAATGAAGAAAACAGCGTTTCCCCAATACCCTTCTGGTAGACCCATCCTCGCTCGCATACCGATACCTAGAATAAGATGAACATCTTCATTACTATGAAGATTGCGAGCGCGAGTGACAGCTCGCCAAAGATGAGCCATATACGACTGCAGGGAAGAGATAATGGAAGTTCCCATTTCAGAGTTGGCTTTTTCTTTCAGCCTAGCGATGTTTACTTTGCTCAAATGGAACACCCTTTCTGCTAGGAATGCCCTTTGCGGTGGTGGTAACCTTTCACTACTCTCAATCATGGGAGGGAGATGAACCGGGCACGTAGTAGTGTTGTCTGGAAACCAGCGTTCATGGATGGGAGTTGTTGAAGGTTGATGAAAACCGCGTGATAATTCAGCCCAGGAGTTAAAGAAATTCCAGAAGGAAGTGCCGTCTCCGAGGCTGTGATTCAATGTGCAGGCGATGAAGTAGCCATCGAGAAGCTCAGTTATTTGCACCCCCATCAGAGGCTTGCAGATCCCGTCGCGGTTGAGAATGCCATTGAGGGTGAAGAGAGATCGGAGTATCTGCGGCACATTAATGTTGGACTGATCAAGAATTGCAGCCACCGTGACGCCACTAGCCTTGGCTTCTACAAACTCAACACCTGCATTGTTACAATCAACATAAACACTACAAGTGTTGTCCTCTTCATTCATCACCGTGGCAAAGCGGCCGGCAAGCGGAGGAAAGAAATCCAGTGTGGAGGAGAGAGAAGTTTTCAAGTGATGAATCAAATTGGAGTTGAAGAATTGTTGTTGCTGTTGAGGGGTGGGGTTGTGGAAGAGAAGTCCTTTCTGGATGGGGCCAATTTGAAGGAACTGCAGATCCCATGGTGTTAACTCAACTCTTCTTGACACACCATTTGATCTTGCAGCGCCGGCAGCTCCAACGAAGCACTTGGATATGACTTCAACTTCTTCTCCCATTTCCGGTTCAACTCCTAAGTCCTAACCAAGCTAAGAGAATCCATTTAACCTGCCTGCACAACGCTGAATTACTGCACCTGCATTTAATGCAACTCTCTTAACCATTAATGTAGGTGTACAATTGTCGTTGAGAGTAATGTGTATGCTATTTTGAATTTAATGGGTGCATCTTTATTGTTTTTTTTTTTTTTTTTTTTAAGTCACAATGAAACCCACCTTTACTATCTAATGTTACATGTTAGGTGAATTTAGCATACAACTCCAGTCAGCACAAGATCACGTAAACCACTTAGATTGTTCATAGCTAACTCATTCAAACCAAGAAACTAGACCAATAGACTATGGAATAAACTTGTAAGATTGAGTTTTTTTATTATATTCCTTGCTTTGTTTATGATGTTATGATGTTACTTGTAAGGATATTTCATTTTAAGTAATCTATGAGGTTGTTGATTTTCTAAAAAAAAAAGAAAAAAAAAAGTGAAGCACATGATACTTATGTGAGGTTACTCTCAGTTTAAAAAAAGAAAGAAAAATATGTTGCCATGTTTATTGTACAATAATAATAACCAGTTAGATTGAAGTGAGTGGCTGTCCATTCTCTTCTTTTATGAGAGATCGAAAGTTCAAAACTCCATCTCCATAGAAGGAATACAAAACACTCCTTAATTAGCCATTGTTATACCATGGACCAGGGTTCATATTGCATTTTGAACCCTGATACATAAATTTTATATTTTCATTAACAGTTAACAGTTTATGTACATATAAACAATAACTTGATAATTGCTGACACATAATATAATAGCTACAAGTGCACAAACTATCAACTGAAGGTACAAAATGTGTCAACTATAGATACAGATTTAATTCGACCGGATAATTGCTGACACATAATATGATAGCTAAAGGTACAGAAACTATCAATTTGAGGTACACAATGTGTCAACCATAGATACAGAATCTGAAGGTTATTTTTTGACCAGAGTATACAATGCAAGGTAGACCATGGTCCATGGTATAATTTGCCCTTAATTTGAATAAATCAATATGATCAGCATTTCGGCTCAATGAAAATTAGTGTAAATATTGTAGGAGCTTAAAGTGCCTCCTCTATATATATATATATATATATATATATATATATATATATATATATATATATATAGAGAGAGAGAGAGAGAGAGAGAGAGAGAGAGGATTATTTTTAAATACAAACCCCTCATAATAGAAAATTCATAATCTCATAAAAGAAAATTCATAATTTCATAACTGCACATTCATAATTTATGAGTGTTGAAGAAGCTTGCGCGAAGAGGAAGTGAAACCAAAAAATGTGAAAATGAAGAAGAAAAGTCGCACTGTTAATTTTTTTTAAAAAAAAAAAAAAAAATAGTGGAAGATAACAGTGCCACCTATAGACACCGTTATTGTTTCAGACCGTACTCACCATGGATGGTGAACGCGGTTCCATTGCATGACGATTGGGTTATAGGTTAGCCAATTAACTTTGTTCGAATCTGCAAATTCTTTATCCGGCCCAAATGAGGTCACCCTTTCAATGGGCAAATTATGTTGTGCATGGTGCATACGGATGCAAAAATGACGTCGTTTTATTAAAAACGCGCGTCCCACTTAAAAAAAAAAATCAGTTTCGATTCCCAGCAACAACATTATATTGTGCATAATTTGAACTTAAATTCCAGAATCTATGAACTAAAATTCCAGAATCTATGAACTAAAATTTCAGAATCTATGAACTAAAAATTCATAATGAATGAACTAAATATCCATAATGAATGAACTAAATATCCAGCATGAATGAAAAAAAAAAATCAGTTTCAATTCATGTCTAAATATCCATAATCAATGAACTAAAATTTCAGAATCTATGAACTAAAATTCTAGAATCTATGAAATAAAATTCCAGAATCTAGTAACTAAAATTCCAGAATCTATGAATCGAAACTGATTTTTTTTTTTAAGTGGAATGCGCATTTTTAATAAAATGACGTCGTTTTTGCATCCGTATGCACCATGCATGGTGCATACGGATGCACAACATAACGATCCCTTTCAATGAGGGTTCCATCATTCAGATAAGAAAACTTCTTCCTGTAAAACGTATGGATACATCCACACATTTCATTTTAAAAAATCAAAAATTACAATTTTATCATTACTAAACTTTCAAGTTTTCAACAATTATAAAATTAATTATGAAATTTTTACTAAAATCTTCAACTAATATTAAATCTTGATGAACGACCAAGATTAGTTCTCATTTTTATGAAGAACCATGTTCTCATTTGATCATATCCTCTCTACATATATAGCAAAGCTTCTTCACTTGTTGTTTTAGGCGATATTCTGAGGCAAATTATATCGTGCACCAGGGCACACAATGCATTGTGCGCCCTAGCCCAAAACGACGTCGTTTTGAACCTTTTCGCGTGTCTGTTGTTAACTCATTTAAAAAAAAAAAGTCATGTTTCGAATGTACAAAATTGTATAATAGAATACACAGAATTTTATACCTGAAAACACAAAATTTTATAATTGAATACACATAGGCCCTGTTTGGTAAAAAATTGGCCTATAGGCCAATTTTGACTTATTTGACTACTATTAATTGTTTGATTTAGTTAAAATATCAATATAAGTGTTTAGTTAATTAGCTTTTTGCAACTCTAAAATACTAAAATTCAAAAAGCTACTCCAAGCAAATTATTCAATTAGCTTTTTGAGAAAATAAATTATACCAAACAGTTATCACCTAACAGCTAATTTACCAAACACTTTTCTACAACAGCTAATGTTATCAACTAGTTATACCCTCTAATTAACACAATCATATAACAGCTAATAGCCATTTACCAAACAGGGCCATAATCTTTTTTAAAAGGATAATACACATAATCTAACATAATACATAATATACATATAAACTCTTAACATAATACACATAAACTCTTAACTCTTTAAAAAAAATCCATGTTTGAAATGTACAAAATTATATAATAGAATGCACAAAATTTTGTACTTGAAAACATAGAATTTTATACCTGAAAACACATAATTTTATAACTTATAATTCTCATGTTCCGAATGTACATAATTATATAATACAATGCACAGAATTTTATACCTGAAATTAACAAAACAACGTCGTTTTGGGAGGCACAGGGCTCACATTACTATGTGCACCCTGATGCACGGTATAACAATTGATAATAATGGGCAAATTATATCATGACTCCCGAATCTTATTAAAAAACTCATATTTAGTATTTTGTAAATTTATTTTCAGTAAGTCATTTATATTTTGATACATATTTATTTTAATGTATTATAATTTAAATTGAACAGGATACCCATTAAAAATAAACCTATATCAAGAGTTCATTTTATCACATGAACCTTAGCCCAAATATAAGCATGGCTGATGAAGCTATCATATCATCATTTTAATATCAACATTGAAGAGGGGAAAAAAATAGAAAAGATCAAAATTAAATTAAGTGTCACGTGAGCATGGTAGGCAGATAATTGGATAATTACGAAAATGTCCTTTAACTTGTTCTTATTTGATTCGATATATCTACTAATAATTTAATATGAGTCAAATAAAGTTAGTTTATAACGAAAATTAAAAAATATTAGTCAAATTATTTGTTGAAATAAATAGTTCATATTATTTTTATTTTAAAAATTTTAATTATTTTTTCTACTTAACTCCTATATTAATATTATTTACTTTTCCTGAATTCTATTGCACTATGTCAATATATACTTTAGTAACAAAATATTACGTTAATTATTTATAATTCTCAGTATATACTAACACTGAGGCTCAAAACTTAAACCTCCCACATAAGGGAGCAATCCGATACCAATGGACCACAAACCACTTGGTTTTTTATATGGAAGATTTTAGGTTTAAACTTAACCTAAACTGAGTTGGCATAATTGTTGAACATATAAATTAGTGTATTAAAAATACAATATAAAATTTAACATGAACTTTGATCAATTAATTAACTAGATTATATACATATCATTCAAAATTGAGCATCAAATATTACAATAAGGAATCTTGAAAATCATTTTCTTGTATTTAAAAAAAAAAAAAAAAACAAATCTAAGTTACATTTTTTTCTTTTTTTTCGTTTAATTAATTTTCTTTTGATTATTTAGAACAATACTCACCATTATTATCTGATGATGTACATTGAGTAAATCAACTTTATTACACAAATATGTAAATATTTGATAGGTCAATTACATCTTTCTTAAGTTTGAGATGAAATTACATTATTATTGTAATGTGTTAAAGAATGTATTTAACCTTTATTCTTATTGGATCAATCGTTTAGTCAATAATTTGTATGTAGCTAATAAATGATTAAATGTAACATTATCTTGAATGTGGACTCACCCAACACTTTTGGAGAGTAACACTAATATGAACGTAGGATGTGAATACGGATTATGTTGGTCTAATGTTTATATTTGGAAATTTCCCCTGAATAACTTACTTCCAAATTGAAGTCTCACGCTACTTCCTAATTGGTCTGCTCACACACAAAAATCAATGCAATTTGGAATAATGTTTTGACAATTTTGTTTGCACTTAACACGCCAGTGGAAATTATTCCCTGCACTGACCAGGAAAGGAAAAATATCCAACAATAGAAATTATTCTTTTCACAAATACCTACATTACATAATAAAGTGCATTTTATAAAATAAAGTGAAAAGGGTCAAATAAGCCCTCAAACTTTAGCTTAAAAGTCAATTAGATCCCTAAATTATATATTCATTCTTCCAAAAGGATAACTCCTCAACTGAACCACAAAGGCTAGACCTCCCTCCTCCCTCACTGGGACTGGTAAGACTCAATCTCTGGCCATTCTTCCAAAGTTTCACTTCTGTGACCAATTGAGCTACCCATGCAAGTGTAATATTCATACTCATATTGTTAGGATTGGTTTGGAGAGTGAGATTAGACAGAGAATAAAAGCAGGGCAAATAACGTTAATCAGCAAAAGTGTGTTCAATAAAATTCCTGAATCCTACCCGTATGGGCAGTTCAACTGGTCACAGACTCAACCTCTTAAAGTGAGAGGGGTTCCTTGTGCGCAGTAAGTACCGGTAGTGTGGGAGCAACCTCTCAAAGTGAGGGGGGTTCCTTGTGCGCAGTGAGCACTGATCTAGCCTCTGTGGTTCATATTCAGTTGAGTTACTATGATTTACATCCTCCGATCCCAAATGCTCTGTCGGATCGGGGTATGGGGCCCTTAGGGTTGGGGTTCAGCCTTTTGGAAGAATAAAATTCCTGAATATTGATTTACTTTTCCTCAATTACTTCAATTGTGATAGACTTTGTTGCTGCTTTTGAGATACGAAATATATTACAATCGCCTTAAATTCACGCTTAGCTTACATGCATCCTTTATGAGGCAAATCATCTCCATACACCGGTTAGCAAGCTCTTAGGGTGTGTTTGGAAACCTGGAAAATGAGTTCTGGAAATCATTTTCCAAGTTTTCATTGGTTGGATGTGCCTGAAAAATCAAGTCAATGGAAATCATTTTCCGTTGACTTTGGAAAATAGGCTCATTTTGGAGGAAAATGACTTCCCCTTTTTTTGAAGGGAAGTCATTTTCCAACTTTTACACCAACATCACACCACCACCAACATCATCAACACCATACCACCGCAACCACTACCACCACCAACACCATACCACCACCACCACCATACCACCGCAACCATCGTCGCCGCCACCACCACCACCACTACCACCGCCGCCGCCGCCACCACCACCACTATACCACCGCAACCACTGTCGCCGCCACCACCACCACCATACTATCGTCACCACCACCGTCGCCGCCACCGCCACCACCACCATACCACCGCCACCACCACCATACCACCGCCACCGCCATCACCACCATACCACCACACCACCACCATCACACCGCCGCCGCCGCCACCACCACGACCATACCACCGCAGCCACCACCACCACCATACCACCGCAACCACCGTCGTCGCCACCACACCACCACTGTCACTGCCGTCATACCACCACCAGTTATTATTATTATTATTATTATTATTATTATTATTATTATTATTGTTATTATTATTATTATTATTATTATTACTATTATTATTATATAACAAATAACACCATTACCACTACACCACCCCCACCACCATAATATTTTTGATATATTATTAGTTATTTTTTTATTATATTTAAAATTATTATTATATTATTATATATTATTATACATGTTGTAATATTCGAAATAAAATAATTAAAATGTTTAATTATACAATTCTACTCATTTTCCAGAAAATGACCCAAACACACAAAAATAGTTTTCCAGAATGCAACCAAACACGGGAAAGGAAAATGTTTTCCGGAAAATGACTCATTTTCCAGAAAACATTTTCCAGAAGTCATTTTCCTGCTTTCCAAACGGACCCTTAGTCTCTTGGTAATAACGCTTAAATTTCATAATTATTTATAAATACAATAGATGAATATTACCAAAAAAAAAAAAAAAAAAAAAAGAGACTATGTTAATGTAATAATACTCTATTTAGGATCACCTTGAGTGGCCATGACTCATTAATTTCTTACTATTTATCCATACATCAATTAATTACTTTTAGCTTAGGTCCAATAGTTTATTTCAGGATTACTAGATTATTTAACACCAACACTAACTAACACATAAATTACTTTTGATGTCATATGACTTAAGTTTTGGTGCACGCCCACATTTATATTGTGTGTACTTCCTACTCTTATACTTTAATCTTAAAATAATTAAAAAGAGATAAATATATTTTAGTTACACTGAATTACTGAGTAGTTGAAGAAAAAGAAAAAAATTAAAACATAATTTCTTTAAAAAATTTACTTTTTTATCAGTCCAATGCCCATAAAATAGATATTTCGAACTTCTCAAATGATTCTAAGTTCTCTCATTATTTATATACTTTTGTGACGGTAAAAAACAAAACAAAACATTAATTGGCAACCACTTAAACTACCAATGGAACAATTTTTTCTTCTTATTTGGCATGACGAGTGACGACACGGGCTACCAAAAATTTTCAATTCTTAACCCAGTAAATAGTTATATAAAATACATGGTATTCAATTTATGTGGGTGTGTTGACATCTACTCGTTGACTATTCATAATTTTAAAAATAAACGGTAATATTAAAAAAAAAACAAACAAACAATACATTTAACTACACGATTATGAAGCATGCGTATTGGGTATTTAGCTAGGTAGTTTAGAATAAAATAAATAATAAAATGAAAAAGGAATTCACATTTTATATTGAATAATAATTAACATGTCTGGACAATTCTAAACAAGTTAATCAAATTATTAATTTAATAACTATAAAGTACCAAGTTCAACTCAGATCTTCTTAATTTGAGCTGATCAACTATAAACAACTTATATCAATTTATATCTCTATGATATTTTATCAGTCAAAATTATAACACCAAATTTACTTTATGTACACTTTCAGATAATAATTGCAAATTTTCTTATTCATTCATATAGAAAATACGGAGTAATAATTAGCATGCCTATTTGGTACGCAATAAACAAATGAAATATTAGTTTATAAAAACCGGCATATTAATTATTTAATTCTGACGTAATTCCTTATTTGCCCTCGACCAAACGACTAAAATACGTAATTAAAGTGAATCAATTCGATGTTCATCAGTCAACCTTTTGAAAAATTAAAATCTATTTTAATTTATTTTTTTTTTGCTTGCACGCATTTGACGTGCAACGAATGTGCTTCCCAGTATTTATCTACCTAGCTAATAGCTCAAACGCCATCCTCCTCCGGCAATTTCCACCACCACCGCCGCCGCCGCCGCCGCCATGGGTTTCGACGACGATGAAGAGCCGCCCTTCTTCCGCCATCATAACCGGTACGACCTCAACAGCAAGATCATGCTCACCGCCATAATTTCGTTATCCTGCGTGGTGTTCATCGTCACGGTGCTCCATATCTACGCGAGATGCATGTTGCGACGCCAGGCGCGGCGGCGCGCAGCGCTGCAACAGATGATGATCGCCGCCGCAGCCCGCGCCCAGTCCGCCGAGCCGCCGAAGACGGGGCTACACCCCTCAGTCATAGCGTCGCTCCCCGTAACTGTCTACCAGAAAGCCGAGGAAACCGAAACGGTTGAATGTTCGGTCTGCCTGAGCCATCTGCAGGACGGCGAGATGGCTCGGACGTTGCCGAACTGCAACCACACTTTCCACGCGGACTGTGTGGACAAATGGCTCGGAACTCAGTCCACGTGTCCCATTTGCCGTACGGAGGCCCAGCCGAGCTCCCGCCCGGTCCCCGAGCCTCGGGAGGGTGCCGTTACGGCGGCGGCCATACCGCCGCCGCCGTCAAATCCACCTCCCTCCGCTCCGCCTCTGGAGCGAGTTGCCTCCTGCGCGATAAACGTGGAGGGGACGACTTCCGACGCCGGCGGCGGAAGTTGCGGAATGCTGCACCCGTCGGGCAAAGCTAGTGGGCCCAGCAGCTCGAGCTTTCGGTTGAGTTCTTTCCGGAAGATTCTGAGCAGCAGAGAGAGATCATCTAGACGAATTCAAAGTCTTGGCGGAGAAGACGGTATTGTAGAAGATGTTGAGAGACAATAATTAATTGATTTTGATCATATTTAGGTATGACTTTGGTGTCGTGTTCTGGGCTTACATTTCATCAGATCATACATACATTCTTGAATTATCTGCTACTTTTCTATCAGTTATGTAACGCAATCTTTACATGAATATCTCCGGCCATCTACTACTCTTCTGGGCAAAGAGTTTTTTGGTTCTTTATTTTTTTTCTTCTCTCTTTGTATACTTTCTATCTCTCTCTCCATATGTAAATTCAATAAGAGTAATATTTTCTGTATTTTCACTTTCACTTTTTATTATATTATTTACTCTCAATTAACAGGCATATTTCGATTAACTGGAACAAAAGGTGGATTATATCTTTTGTTTGCTTGTTTTTTTTTATTAACATTTTTAAAATTGATTATTTTTTTTGTTCTAATCTAATTTGATTTTTCATGTAAGCTTTTAAATATATAAAACTGATCATATTTGATAAAATAGTTAATATATAGTCAATTTTGTCTTATTTGATCACTATTACCTATTTGACTTGGTTAAACAATCAATATGAGTGTTTGATTAATTAGTTTTTTGTAACAATTTATTGTTTCAAAATATTAAAATTCAAAAAGCTGCTCAAAGTAGTTTTTTGAGAAAATCATTTTGTATGTAATCAACTAACAATTAATTTACAAAACACTTTTATATAATTAGCCAACATTATCAACTAGTTAATTAAATTGACTAACCAAATCAGCTAATAACCATTTACCAAATACTCCCATTGTGTCTAGTGTCTACCATTAAGTTAGTCAATGGAGTCTGTGTATATATATTTACTTTGTCAGGGTTTTAATTAATGACATAAACTATAGACTTTATATAAGATGTGTTAAGTCGGTTTAATATAATATTTACTTAATTGTTGTAAAAGAAAAAGTAAAAGATATTAGGTGGTTAAGGAAAGAATGGTGAGATGAAATTGGGGTGGGAATAATTGAAGATGAGGATGTAGATTGATCTGATCTGGTCGTCCTAGAAATGATTTCAGGTATTTGGTTACCTAAGAATGACTAACACTACCAGAAAAGTAAAAGAGAATCCTAGAATTAGGTAGGGGGGCTTGCTAAATGCTGACCCCATTGCCATATAACAAATGCCCAACTCCATTCTTTAATCTTCTACACCATTGACTTAAACAACTCATATATAGTGTGATCAGGTGTGATCAGGTGCGAACGTGGGGTGAGATGAGAGCTATTAATTTTGCCAAGATCAACTACTAGGATTAACAAAGATTAAAAAAAAAAAAAAAGGTGACAATTTGATAATTTTTCATCTAGATCAAATTTAAGGTGTGTCAGTTGTTAAAACTTAAGGTGCGTTGGCCTAAAGCTTTAGGTACATGGCTTTCCTTCGTTCTTAAGGTGTGCTGTTTTCATTCTTTAAGGTGTGTCATTTTTTACAGTTTGTTTCTTGAATTGAGGACACACTTTTTTTTGTAGTCCTAAAACATAACCACTATCATTTTCCAATCATGTTTCAGCAATCATAATAGAGATCAAAGGAAGTACTGAAGTAAAATTGCTTATGAGTGGCCGGTAGCATATCCTGAACAACGCTTTTTTTTTTTCAAAAAAAAAAAATCATTTATTTGAGTCGTTGATCTAGATTTGATCAACGACTCAAATCTAACCCCATCTTCACCTCGATACATCTTCGCACCAGAACTACTGTGATGACACCTTACATATCTGTTACTATTATAAATGAGTGATTACATGTTCAAACACCACATAAACACATCTCACAATTTACCTTTTCTACCAAACTTATAGTAAGAGTGATGTGACCCTCATGGAATTCAATTCTTTGATAAATTACTTCTTCTTTTTTTTTTTTTTTTGCTAATTCGAGATTACAATTCCACAAATTTTTAATTTAAGCGTCCAATTACACAAACAAGACTAATTCAGTAATTGCCTGCATGGGTAGCTCAACTGGTCATAGAGATGAAACTTTGGAAGAATGACCAGGGATCGAGTCTCACCAACGGTAATGTGGGAGCAACTTGCCTATTGGAAGAAGACTAATTCAGTAACTCACTCAACATATTTTCACCTAAAATTTTTTATTTTTAAAAACTATTTTCTAGCTTATATATCATTAGGACAAATTGCATTTGTTAAACTAGTATTTGCGCCCGTGCGATGCACGGAATGGATTTGTTATAATATATTATTAATATGTAGATCGATATATAATTATTTAAATTAGAACATCAAATATTATATAGTGCAATTAAATGTATGATTTGGATCGTTTATGTGTTTTTATGTTATCAATGTTTGAATTTGAGCAAATAATTGTTCAAATTAATAGCTAATGTGTAGATGTACGCATGCGGTGTTGTAATTTTGAAGATTTTATTTACCATTGTTCAATATTTTTATAAATTAGGCAAATGTGTCCGTTCTCTAGCAACTCAGTTATAAGAATGAATTGATATCCTAATTCATTTGTATGGAAAATATATTTTTTGTCTAGATATATAACAATTTTACCATTAAAAAACATAATATCACCGATTATATTTACACATTATTGAAACCTCTTTGTAGACGATATTTGTAGTGGCAACACAATCTTGTCCATCCTCGTTTAGAGTTAACACCTTCAGTCCATCCGGACGGGTGACTCGGGTGAAAATATATAATGGTAGAATATCACTCAATTAGTGATCGTATTATATTTTCAATCAATTAGTAATATCATATTCATTTTAAGCCAATTATTCTTTTGTATTTTCAGTCAATTAGAATATATTGAAGTAGCATTCAAAAAAAAAAAAAAAGAATATATTGAAGTATGACTTTCTAACATACAACATACAACATACAACATAAATATTAATATTAATTGATATTAATCTAACATCATTAAAATACATTGTTGTTTGAAAAATGTAAAAATGCAATATGTACCTTGGAATCATGAAACCAGTGCATGGTGGTTGACGACTATGTGTTGATATTCTTTAGACAAATAACAACGCATCAACCAGAGCCTTATAAAACTTTTCATTGTTCTGGGAGATAGATCAGAGGTAGTGACAAAATTTGACTCCATTAGTAAACAATAAAGAGAAAATTGAGAAATAACAGAAAAAATTAAAAGTATATAATGATAGAAAATCAGTAAGTTCGTGATCATTTTATATTTTATTCTTAGTCAAATATTTGTTTTAATACATATGAATTAGTTTATACTATATTTCCAGTCAATTATTAATAACAGATACATTTTCGAATTTACTTATATTATTGTTAATCCGTTTCATTTTCGAAATAGTTAATGGTGGATCATTTTTAATTTTTAGTAAATTATTAATATTTATTTCTTTTTTTCAATTGTCATATAATTAACATAGTCATTAAATAACGTAGTAAAAATAATTTGAAATTAATTTTTTTTTAAAAAAGGATTTCAGCCACCAACTGTCCAGCGAGGACAGCCGGTGGTTGAAATCCCCCCCCCCCCCCCCCCCCTTTTTTTTTTTTAAATTTTAAATTATTTGGTAACCTGTTAGCAACCTGCAAAAAAAGTCAATTACTTGCACAAAATGTCAATTGAACAAAGTTAGTAGGTAAGTGTAGTTAATTAGACTTTAATTTAGTTCATTGTGGAATTGAACACTTGGCAGTAGTAGATGAGCCTATTTGACACTTCTCCATTTTTTTTTAATACATATAAATTAGTTAATTATTAATAACATATTTTTTTTAAAAAAATATTTCTAGTCAATTATTAATAATAAATTCCTTTTCCAATTTACCTGTACTATAATTAATCCGTTTCTTTTTTTGAAATAGTTAAGGGATCATTTTTAATTTTCAGTCATTTATTAATATTCATTACATTTTTAATTGACATATAATTAACATAGTCATGCAATAATGTAGTAACAATATTCTCTGTGTAAAGTTTTCTCAAAATAGTTTGCTCATTGCATGACTATTTTTTTCTGAGAAATCAATGAGCTCGGATCCATATGTATCTCATATAATACTTATACTATAGTTAATTGGTTTCCTATTCGAAATAGTTAATCGGTGATCATTTTTAATTTTTAGTCTATTATTATTATTTATTTCCCCTTTCAAAAATGATATTATTTATTTCCTTTTTTAATTGACCTAATTTTCGTATCAAATGTTGATCTCAATCAATTATTTTTTTGTTACTATATATCAATTAGTTAAATACTAATAACAGATTTTTTTTTTTAAATATTTCTGGTCATCAATTATTAATAACGGATGTCTTTTTCAATTTATCTATACTATTGTTTGGGTGGTCTGGGACTCTAGCATTTCTTTTTCCATGGGAGTCAATTTAGGATATTTTTAGTTTGTAATTAAGTATTAATATTAGTTTCTTTTTTCAATTGGCATAATTTTTGTGCCATTTTTATTATCATTCAATTATTCCTTTTTAATGTATATTAATTAGTTAATTATTAATAACATACTTTTTTTTTATTTTTATTTTCAGTCAATTATTATTAATAATATATGCCTTTTCCAATTTATCTATATTATAATTAATCCGTTTCCTTTTCAAAATAGTTAATATGTTGATATTTTAAAATTTTAATTAATTATTAATATTAATTTCTTTTCTCAATTGGCCTAATTTCTGTGTCATTTATATTCTCAATCAATTATTTTTTTAAATTCATATCAATTAGTTAATTATTAATAATAAATTATTTTTTTAATATTTCCAGCCAAATATTAAAAACAGATTCCTTTTCCAATTTACATATATTATTGTTTGGACGGTTTGGCCATTTCCTTTTTTATTTCAATTAATTTGGATTTTCAGTCAATTATTAACATTCATTTCCTTTTTCATTTGGCTTAATTTCCGTGCAATTTTTATTTTTAGTCAGTTATTCTTTTTAAATACATATCAATTAGTCAATTAGTTAACAGATCTACCATCCTTAGCATCACATTGCTTGTTACGCTCCAAAGTTCCAATAGTACTTTCAACCACCTCTCAATCCAGAAAGTCCTAAAATGACAAGAATAGTCAAATAACTAAATAAAATTGGAAAAAAATGTTAGTGACAAAATAACTTTATATTAACAAAAGTCTGGGCGGGAAACTACATATGAGGATTATATTTTAATTTCATTAAATTTTAAATAAATGTTACCAAAATTATATTTAGTAATCTATCATATATAAATTTCTTACTTTAATAATATTAATCCTATCATAATATATGCTATTAATAAAAAATAAA